GGTAAAATTATTCTGCAACTTCAGTTTTAAAAAATATATCTTCCAGATATTTCTTCTCTCAAAGTTTTAATTAATTATATCTTGAAATTTATGTTTCCTTTTAAAATGACTCATTGAAAACTTGGACTTAATAATCAAATGATACTTTTCAAGTGGTATTTAAACCCTTTAGTTCAAGTTACCATTATATATTGTCCTTAAACCTTAGATTTCTTCTTCAAATGAAAGATAATCCTTTTGTTGTTAGTTTATCTCATGGTTTGTTTCAATGCGAAAAATCAATGCTTGGCATATAGGACTGGATCCTGCCCATCCCCCTAACCGCCCCCCACCCTCCTTTTTGGGTTTGCAGAGATCAAGGAAAAACAGGACGTCTGAGTTACAAAAGCAATAAGCAGACAATTCAACTTTTAAAGGTAAGTATATAAAGATATTGCAAATTTGCCTTCTTTGCAGAAAACTAATGACTAAAATAATTTGTAGATACATCTTTAAGAGCCCTCAGAACATGGATTGTTCTCATATATCCTGTAGTGATCAGTTTTCTGTTAAATATTTATGTTGCTTTTGGAACCATCAGTTTTTGTCGTCTCTGTTGTATGATAAACTTTTTAAGAATGGGAAACAAAGAAATATCACATCTTTACTTTTTGCCCTCTATCCTCATCCTATCCTTGCGGATGGACAAGTAAGAGTGACTGAAATCCAGAGTCACTTCAAATACTAAAAAATCAATTTTACAACTATACCAGTACATTTTAATTCCTATGAGCAACAGATTATTAATAGCATAACAGAAGTTATTCTGGTTAAAGAGACTGCAGAAGCTCTCTAGTTGTGTGTCTTTTAAATGGTGATGAAAGGGGAGATTAAGAACTCTGGCCTCAGCTACTCAGTTGATAAATGACTTTGCATCATTTAATCAGTCACTTCTTGCATTGCCTCATCTTTTTCGTGCTGATATCAACATCTAAGTAACTGAGGAAGATTTCAATGGCTTTCTGTTTTGTAAGTGGTTGTGTTTAACTCTTCCCCAAAGTGCTGATGACAAGGTGTTTTTTGGTCAAGGAATCCTTCTGGTCAGTGTTCTTCTCTAGTTGACATCCTTTGTTGCCCTAGTCCATGACTAATCTACTTACATGTCTTCTTGCTCTTTTTTTTCCTGACTAAGCTTTAGATTCACTCCTTGATTTAAGAATAAAGTTACAGCCACCCGATCACCAACTTCTTAGTATTCTAAACTCTTCTGGCAGAAGTGACTTTACTTCTCTACACAGCCTGCTGGCCTTGCATGGTCCCACTAGCTACCCACATCTGTGTACCAACCTTTCCAGTTTTCTCTGATTGCTCAGCTGTTCAGTTTCTTTCAGCTTGTCTCTTCCTAGGTTTTTCCTAATCAACATCTATTTTTCTGAAGGTTACCTACTTTTTTACCAGCCCACTCTCTCCATTTCTATAGCCTCATTGTCCTTGAGCTTCCAAACTCTTAAACATGTGATGGCTACCTCTTCCTATTCTTCCGAGAACCTTTCTTCTCAGACACTTCTCGTAGAACATTGGGACTGTAAAGGGGTTTATTACAGCCACTTCATTTTAGAGCGAAAGAAACAGAAGTCTGTAGAGACAAGTTACCAAAATTCACCTAGTAATCAACCACAGGGTCAAAATTAAACTAAAGATTTTTTAATTGCAAAAAGCTGAATAATCCAGCCTTGGCCTCCACTGATATAATCTCTGCTCCCAGAAGTCTTAGAGTTTTCTCTATACCGAGATCCATTTCTTCCAGTTGGCATAGCCCTAAGCGGCATGTCGTTGAAATGCAAAGGATGGGATCTGAAATCTGCCATAGACATTAGCAACCAGCCCTTCTACAATTCAATTACCCTTCACTTCTGTAGCCAGAAGGGAATTATACTGAATACTGAATGTGCAGTTGAGTTTTATTATATACAAAAACAAGGATTTTTTGTTGTTGTTGGTTTTGGTTGGAAAAAAAATGTTCTGAATCCTCTCGTGGGATATTGAATAACATAATTTTGGCAAAAGGTTTTAGCCTCTGTTGGTCTTCCTCAGTCATTATTCTGCTTAACTACCGTGGTCACAGATTTGTTCACTGAACCTCTCTGTGGGAGATTCTTTGGTAGTTCTTTTTTTTTTTTTACCCACTCTGTTTTGAAAAGTTCTAGGTTCCTTGGATGCCTTACTTTTGTCTTCTCAGAGCCTCCGTCCCCATCTGGTGACATCTTTAGGATGGACCATCAGTGTGCTCTCAGAATATTTCTGAGGTCTTTACTAGGAGCAAAGTTTTACTTCATTTGTCAGTGAATAATTTCTGTATTACAGTCAGCTCCTGAGTCTGGTATATCTATTCATGGAAAACTGTTCAGAGACAAAGTCATTATTCAGTTCTCAATGATATTCACGACCATTCCTTGGTGACTCGTATTGTTACACATTTGTACAGGATTTCACGGTTTTCACATTATCTTGTTTGAACCTATGAGGTAGGTAGGGCTGATATTATCTCCCTTTTATGGCTGAAGAAACTTCAGCTCAGTGAGATTCAGTGACTTTCCTAAAGTCACTTAGATAGGAACTGGCAAAGTGAAGACTAGAATCTTAGCCTAATGCCAACGCTCTTCCACATCACTCTGCTAATCAAGCATTAAGATTGTCTTGATTGGGACTTCCCTGGTGGTGCAGTGGTTAAAAATCCTCCTGCCAATGCAGGGGGCATGGGTTCAATCCCTGGTCCGGGAAGATCCCACATGCCGCAGAGCAGCTAAGCCTGTGCACCACAACTACTGAGCCTGCACTCTAGAGCCCACGTGCCACAACTACTGAGCCCACATGCTACAACTACTGAAGCCCACGCGCCTAGAGCCCGTGCTCCACAACAAGACAAGGCACCGCAATAAGAAGCTCGCACAATGAAGAGTAGCCCCCGCTCGCTGCAATTGGAGAAAGCCCGCTTGCAGCAATGAAGACCCAATGCAACCAAAAATAAATAAATAAATAAATAAAGATTGTCTTGAGCTACAAGAAAGGAGTTGGCTACCATGAGAATCTTAAGACTTCTCCACACACTAAAAAAGATTCAAGTCCTATTTCCAAAATTGCTAAGTTAAGAGTGTCAATTATTGGTACAAACACAGAAAATTAAAGTTCAGTCTCTAGATTCTTTAACTGCTAATCACACGTCTAGGCTACAATTGAATAACTCCATGCCATTGCACTTGGAGTCACAGCTCTCAAAAGCTCTCTTTGCTTAGTTCTTTGCGACGAATGTGTAAGAGTTCTGCTGTCTGAATAATGGGCAGTGCAGATGGGTAATGCCACAGAATGCTGCAGAAACAGAACTTTCCACAGGTTAGAGAAGAGAACTCTAGCAAGGCCACATCATGTCCCACCTGCCACATGAACTCTCAGATTGCTAGGAGACATGACAATCTAGGATAGAGAATAAAGAGGGAAGAAGGATCAGGGGCAGAAGTGGGACTTGTTACATATCACCAGCACTGTCCTCAAGAGTATGCAGTTGATTGGGACCTGGGAAGACAGCACCAAAATTGCAAGCATGGGATATTGCATTCACAATTGGCAAAAGTTCTTACATTTATGAGATACTCTCGTGTGTTGTATTAGGACTCCTAATAAAGTACCAGTGATAGCGTCCTTCCATGAACTGACATGTGTTCACACAATACTTATTGTTCTGAATGGACCAAACCGGACAGCTCAAACACGGGGAGTCCTTCTAGCCCTTCACGGAAACTTCCTTAGGACCCTGACAAGAACCTTCCATAACAATTTCTCCTCCTGGGGACAGTTTTTATGAGTGAGTATTTAACTCATAAATAGTGAGTTTTAAGAGTCAGTATTTAGCAGCATAGAAAGGAGGACTAATATTTAATACTTTTAATATGAAACCTTGCTAAAGGAGTTTTGAAAGTCTAATGATTAAATTTTCTGATGTCAGTGTTTTCTATCTGTATTTTGTTATATTTTCCTTCCATATATGTACTAATATCTCTCTCCTCTCTGCCCTCAAAGTGGTCTATTTCCAAAATTCTTCAGTCAGTCGAAATTTCATGAATATTTGTTTCCTATAACTTCTTTCCTTCAAAGTCTGTCAGCTACCCTGTTCTCTGTCTTCCCAGCCTCACCTTACTGTGCCATGGCTAGGCCGTACAGGAGGAATAAAAAGACCTGCAATCTAGACTTTTCACCATGCTGGGTCAGAGGTATTCCACAGTTTAAAGGAAACTACGTGCCCATGCAGATGTGTCCAGCTCCATCTCCACAGAGGAGGGTAGAACATAAACATCTCAGGCTGAGGAGTCTCCTGCTAAGTCTCTAGAGAAGACTCAAGCAATTGCAAACAGAGAAACAAAACCTTCTCTTCTTTATTACATTTGTGTGCATGTTACCTGGTATATTTTAAATCTGGGGCACCTCTTAGATATTTAATGGCAAAGATAATTAGGTACTACTTAAGTACCACCAAGAAGGAAATGAAGGGTGTGAACATTTAGAAACAAGTCATTAAGCTGGTTGTCTCAGAATCATTTTGATCTTCGTATTTAAGACCAGAAGTGAATAGTATCCATGACCAGTTAGTCTGAAATAGCTACGCTGCTTAGGAGTCAAAAAACCCTGCACATCACACATCAGCCTAAGAACTGTAACCTGAACAAGCACACAAGTTACAGAGTTGAGTTAGAAGGAGACCAAAATGAAAAATCCTTTCACCCTGGCACAAGGTGAGGCATCACCGAATAATTTCCTCCCTCCTGTTATCATCCCCCATCCATGAGTATGATCTAGATCCTGGTCTATGATCTATGGTCTATGGTCCTATGATCTATTTCCTGGTCTTAATTTAAGATTAATGAGAAGGAAAGACTCATCATCTCTACTTTATATTGCTATGACAATTTCAACATACTTCCAGTTTGTATTATATTTCATCATGCATTGCCATTTTATCTTTTGTTCAGGACAATAATATCCACGTCTAGAGAACAACACAAGGATGCCTGACGTGACGCAGCCTGCCTTCCACACAGGAGAGGAAACCAGCAGCAAGCGAGAACACGGTTTCTTTTAGAAAAGATAATTCCTCAGGACTTTCCTGTAACCATTTCTTAAAGCAGGAGAGAGAGTTCGTGGACAAGTTAAAACATTTGCTTTCTAGGCTGTTATGAAGAAAAACATTGGTCAAAAGCAAAACCATCACTGTTTTCATTTTATGCACATGAAGTTTCCCAGTCACTAATTTCAGTCTTTTATACCCTGCCCAGCTGTTAGGTCGACAACTTCTGCCATTTCTGCAGATGCATTTTCCAAAAGCACGTGTTTCAGGAATTCTGAATCTTGTGGTCTGATTCTCTACACTTGGAATCTGTCTCCCCAAAGCATGCGTTAATCCGGCTTCTTAATGGCTGGAAGTAATAGATGAAGTTTCTATGGAGTAACTAGTTGGGGGTTTTTAAACCTGCCTACATGCAACTCAAATGCCAAAATAATCTCTTCCACCTCGTGATACTAGGTACAAAATCCCACAGATAGGAAATGCCAAGAGTGTTTTAGTTAAATAATCTGATAGAGCTACTTTTTTTTTTTTTTTTTACAATTCTCACTTCTTAGTCTTTGGAGATCTTATTCTATACCCATCAAGAGTGTAGAAGCTGAAAAACTAATGAACTTGCTCATTTTTAATGTTGACCCGCTTTATACGCAGAAGGTATGATTGCGTCAGTTTCTGAGAACAAATCCTGTCTATACCTGGTAGCCCAGCTTCATTTAATTTAATTTCTGCTTATTTATATAACATATGCAGGAAGGTGGGGCATATACAGTCTTGGAAGGTGAGATGGAGCAAGCAAAGTGAGGACCTTCCCCCGATACACTCTGTTTAAAAAAATAAACGTAAAATAACCCCAAAAATGATCATTAGTGGTGATCATTGAGTTTTGTTTTACTATATCCAAATATCAAGGGCTAAACATACTTTATTTTTAAAAAGTCATGCGCCAAGGAACTCAAACATATACGTATACCAATATCAATAGCAGCATTATTCATAAGAGACAAAAGGTGGAAACAACCCAAGTGTCCATCAGCAGATGAATGGATTTTTAAAATAGGGTATATACGCACAATAGAATGTTATTCATCCAGTAAAAAAATAAAATGCTAATATGTGCTACAACATGGGTAAACCTTGAAAATATTGTGCTAAGTGAAATAAGCCAGACACAAAAGGACAAATATTCGGATTCCATTTTTCTGAGGTACTTAGAATAGGCAAATTCATAGAAGTGGAAAGCACAATAGCTTTTACCAGGCGTCAGCAAGAGGAGAGTGGGCAGTTGTTGTTTAAGGGGTGCAGGATCTCTGTTCAGGATGATGAAGAAGTTCTGGAAATAGTGCACAGTATTGTGAATGCACTTAAAAATAGTTAAAATGGTAAATAAACAAAACTCTAGTAAAATCAGATTAGTATTTCCAAGATGGAAGAAAAGCCATATGCCAGTCTAAAGCATCTGAGAAGAGTTATATTTCTTGAGAAAATAATTTGTCATATGCTTTTTGGTTGGAGATAAAAAGGATTCACGTTTAACCCATGCATAATGATGAAGCACAAATATTTTCTAGTCACCAAGCCACACTGATCACATTATTTCTTTAGTCTTTGGACACTTAGGAGTAGACTTCTACCTTTTCAGACAACGCTCAATAACACCTTATGCCACTCTGAACCATTATGTATGATCTTTGAATCACACGTTGGCTAAATCGTGTAGGCTCTTCTTTTTCATAGTTACCATAGAAACTGTGTAGTCACGGTATTTGAGGAGACAATAAGAGCATCCGAGAGTGTACAATCAAAGTTAACATTTCATGGTTCATAATCTCTTCCAGCTGCCTCCATTTGTGATTATCGTGTTCAAGTTGGGAGTATAAATGTACAACCCAAAGGGCTCTGGGAACTAAAGCCAATAAGCGACCTCACCCGTGCAGGCATCCCTCCCAACCTCCTTCCCTCAAAGATTTGCGATAGAAACTCATAAAAGAAATGGCATGTGAGCCTCAGGTGTTTCCAATTATTTCCCTCGACTGAGGAGAGGTTTCCTAATCCAAAACATATTTCGGCTCAAATAGTCTTCCTTATATTTGAAGCTTGTGTAGCTTCAGAAGAATTTCACCTACATATCTGATTCATTGACACTTCATCAACAACAATATCCCCTCTGAGCTCTTCTGTAAGAACATTTCCTCTCTGGGTGGTCAAAAATATGGTGCATTTAAGTATTGCTTGTTTTTGTGAAGCGAACTCTCAGAAAGTGTATAACCTTTTGCTCTTGCAAGAAAAAGAGAAATAAATGCTCAGTGTGGTAGATTTCTTGTCAGTGACATCACCATGGAGTGTTCTAGCACAAGCCTCAACTATCTTCCTGCTCAAGGGCTATCAGTCTCTCTAGAACAGTACAGGAAGGGGAAGAATGACCTACCTCTACTGGTACAAATCATTAACTACCTAAGTGGTAATACTCAGGCAAGACTATTCAGGGATTACAAAGAAAGAATGTGGGTTTGGAGCATTTTGTTTTCCTAAGTTTCTGAATGAAAGGTATAAGATTGATCATTTAGGCTTCAGCAGCCTTAGACAGCAGTGAGCTTTATCTCATGGTCCCAGAAATTCGCTACTTCATTGTTGCCTCTGCGATTTTGCGGCAGCACTCTGCTTATAATCATCTTACAGGAGCAGTGAGGGTTATTTCATAAAACATCCGAGTAATGATCATTGTTAAATTATATTCACTTGGTTCTGAAGAACCTAGGGGCAGCACAGGAATAAAGACGCAGATGTAGAGAATGGACCTGAGCACGCGGGGAAGGGGAAGGGGAAGCTGGGACAATGTGAGAGAGTGACATGGACATATATACACTACCAAATGTAAGATAGATAGCTAGTGGGAAGCGGCCGTATAACACGGAGATCAGCTTGGTGCTTTGTGACCACCTAGAGGGGTGGAACGGGGAGGGTGGGAGGGAGAGGCAAGAGGGAGGAGATATGGGGATATATGTATATGTATGGCTGATTCACGTTGTTGTAGGGCAGAAACTAACACACCATTGTGGGGCGGTTGTACTCCAATTAAGATGTTTAAAATAATAATAATATTCACTGTTTATGGAAACAAAATCATCTACAGATGGATGAACTACATGAATTACAATGAAAATAAACCCAAAACTTTACCTACCGCTGAATACGCCCCAAAATAGGTGAACATTTTGAGCTGTACCCCAGCACTTTTCCTCTCTCTCTCTCTCTCTCTCTCTCTCTCTCTCTCACACACACACACACACACACACACACACACACACACACTTCATTATTTTGGCATGATATAGTGAAAGAAATTGTGAAAGGATAAACACTGTTCAGATGATGAAGTATTTTTGGTTAATTGCCAAAGAGCTTTGCAGAGGAATCCAAATTTTCAGATCAGTATCAGGGCTAGAGTTCTTTTCGGGGATAAACTCCTGCCCTTGGCACTTAATGCCAAGTCCAAGTAGAGGAGGCTTTAGAATCTAGCCATCTGAGTAAGTTTTAAAATGCGTGGTAGCAATACAACTTTGTGCTCAGATAATATAAATGGTTACCACTCAATTATCTATGTTTACAAAAATACTGACTTGAAATATATCTATATAGACATATCCATAACATAGCCATATTCTTTGGAATACATTACAAGACAAAACAGATGCAATAGAAATTTTACTTTTAGAGGAGTTTTCTTTTTCCTAATATTTTCTTTTTCTTAGGCTGAAGACAGTCTCAGCGTGTTGAATACTGTGAAATTTCATATAAGCCTGTTGCTTAGATGTTACCACAGCATGAGAAATGTAAAACTTTAGGAATCGTTTGAAAACAGTATTGTCTGTTCTAAATACGTTGTGTTTGTGTCTGTACTGTGGTCCTGAGAAAGAGGGGAAAAGGTTCTCTAAGTAAGAGGCCAACAGGATCGCCGGGCAGTCAAATTTTGCCTTAATATCCACAGATTGCAAAGGTGACTAATAATACTACCTTCTGCCTGAATTACACATTATATTTATATTAGTCAACCAATAATAATTTTAGGTCTAGAAGGAGGAACATTGTAACCATGAGCAGAAGTACCATAGGAACTGCTTTCCAAGCTTGTGTCTCAGACTTCCTGCTCTGCTGAAAACAGGGGAACCACAAGGGGCTCGGGTACTGGGGTGGCATGGGGAAGACATCCGTTCCCAAGGTGGTTCATTCACATGGCAGGAAAATTGGTGCTGACCGCTCTCCACAAGGCAGCTTGGGCTCCCTCACACAAGTTACTTAGGTTCCAAGAGTGAGTGTCCTAAGAAACAGGAAGTGGGAGCTACCAATTTCTCAAGATCTGGATGCAGAAAATGACACAGCATCCTTCTGCCATGTTCTCTTAGTCAAGCAGTTATGGAGCCCATACTCAAGAGGAGAAGGCATAGACACCACTTCTCTATAGGAGGCCTTATTTTAAAACAACCACTATGAACATTCTCAGGATACATCATATCTTGGGTCGCAAATCAAGCCTTGGTAAATTTAAGAAAATTGAAATCGTATCAAGTATCTTTTCTGACCACAACGCCTGTATGCAGAAAACTATAAGACACTGATGAAAGAAATTAAAGATGATACAAACAGACGGAGACATATACCATGTTCTTGGATTGGAAGAATCAACACACAGGGTGATCAGCTCAGTGCTTTGCGACCACCTAGGAGGGTGGGGTAGGGAGGGTGGGAGGGAGATGCAAGAGGGAGGAGATATGGGAATGTATGTATACATATAGCTGATTCACTTTGTTATACAGCAGAAACTAACACACCATTGTAAAGCAATTATACTCCAATAAAGATGTTAAAAAAACAACAACACTATGTATAAATCACCAAGAAAAAAAAAACATACTTCTTTTTAACTTGATCTTTCCCTTTTAATCTTAACTGAGCATGTCTGCCCCAATCTTGGAAAATTAAGACATCCCCAATTCACCATCATTCAGCTGGTGAATCCTGATGTTCAAAGAATCCCAACACAACAGGCAAGAAACTGTGACCTTACCTTTATTGGGGGTATATTGTCAGCTTACCTGAAACAAGGGAAATCTGAAATATTGCCCTGAAGCAATAAGTAGCTCTAGAGATTATAATTTTCCTCTTAATTTCTAGAACCACCTTTCAGGAACCCCTTAACCTTTTCTCCTCTTCCTTAAATCACTAAAATCTATGTGGATTAGCTGGAGACATGTCTTGAAGGGCTTGTAGTTGTCTGTTGAGTTTGTATTTTGCAAACTTATTTTTCCCTGTCATGCATTCTTAATCACTCATTTTTTTTGAGCGTCTATTATATGCTAAGCACCGGAATTTTTCAAAATATAATTTGTGCTTTTATGGGAGTCATAGACCAGTGGGAAAGATACTTGTAATAAAATAAAGCATCAAAGAAGTACTACAATAAAGCTAAATATAAAATCTTGTGTGTTCTTTGGAGAATGAATACCAGACAGGTGCCATGGAGCTGACTTTAAGAAACAAGTGAAGATGGTTCAAGCAAATGGAGAAAAGGAAGCTGATCACATACAGAAAATAAATGGAAGCCTCTGGGTGGCTCTGAAAAATGGTCATCCATATTGGTGTGCATTTAGAAGATGGAATAAAAGAAGGAACCAGGAAATGAGGCAAGAAAAGGAGAGTGAACCAAATCATGAGCTTTGTGTTCTGGGGCCAAGTGTTTGAACTTGCTCCCACATGTTATAGAAGGGAAATAGCAATTCCAGATTCTCCACTGGAATCTGGCAGTACATTGGACGGTGACATATAGAGATAGAATTTATCCCACTATAATACGGCAGTTATTTTTCTAAGAAACCTCAACTTTTCCAAATTTGCTTTTGGTAAGACTGGCTTTTAAAAAAAAACAAACTTTTCAATGAGAAAAAAACAAATATGGAGTAGAGCATTTCTAGCTATACATGTACATTATAAAACCTAGAAATCGGGCTTCCCTGGTAGCGTAGTGGTTGAGAGTCCACCTGCCCGATGCAGGGGACACGGGTTCGTGCCCTGGTCCGGGAAGATCCCAGATGCCGCAGAGCGGCTGGGCCTGTGAGCCATGGCCGCTAAGCCTGAGCGTCCAGAGCCTGTGCTCCGCAACAGGAGAGGCCACAGCAGTGAGAGGCCCGCGTACCGCAAAAAACAAACAAACAAAAACCTAAAAATCATTAAGCAAATATGGTGGTTGATTACACTGAGCTTTGGCTTGAGTAAAGGTCTGTCTCCGTGGTCAGCATGGGCCTCTTAAAATGCTTCTCACCTGCATCACCTACTGTTAGAACAAAGCATACAAATACTCAGAGAAGGCAGCCATGGTCTGTGTAACAGTTACCCCCACCCCTGCCCCTCAGTGTTAAGGCAATATCAACCTGTACAATGTAACTCATGTTCCCTAGCTAATAAATGGCATATCGTCAATCTTCATTATGAAAATATGCTATTGGGAAATTGTTCAAGGAGCTGTCTCAGGAAGTGAGGAAGGTATCTTATGAAGGGAAAGGATGGGAGGTATGAACCTAAATTGAAAAGTTGGCTTGAGCTATTCTAAACCTATGTTTTATAAAATTTTCAGGTAAAAACTTCATGGGGGATAGGGAGATATTCTAATTTTAAAGACTTTTGAAAAATGTCCTAATCAGATTGACCAATATGCTTTTCTAAAGCTGTCCTATTAGTTTTGCCAAAGTGAAAATCTACGAAGTGAAAATTAAACACATTACAGTTCAAGATCCCACGATGGCTCTTACTCCCCTATAGTTTGAAATCTCAAGTGAAATCTAAGGTGTGTTAAGTCTTCTAGTTGATTTCTGGTCACATGATATCTCTCCATTCCATATTTTTGTGCACATTACTGCTTCAATTAACACCTTATTTTTATGTAAATTGTCAACTCCCTAAATGTTCTCAAAGACTCATTATCCTGCTCCCAACATGTGAAACCCCCATCTCTCCAATATCTCTGGGGATTGTTGATTGTTTAGGGAGTTAAGTCACTGATGACCTCCTGCTGAATTCAACATGGGCTATTCCTGTCTTGCCTTCTGCTGTCCTTTCCCCACAGGTTGAACACAACCATCAGGCTGGACATGACCAGAATCCTCCACACCCCTAAGTGCTTCCTACAAGGCTGTATGTGTCCAGGACCATTGCCTCGGGGCAACAGAGAGGATTTGTGTCATTTAGCCTACAGCATAGCAAGTAACTTAGAACTGAATGTCTAACATCTCTGTTCTGAAGTCTTTTGAGCATTCCCATATAAGACTCTGCACCCAATTGCAAAGTGTGGGTTTTTTCCCCACACCAAGCAATTCTCAGACACCAACTGGGTGTCCAACAATTTAACTCAATTCTGACACTGTCTTCCTGGAGATATTATCAGATCGCACAGGTTGAGGGCTCGGTCCTATACGATGCCCTCTCTCACCACCACTTCAGACACCCATCCTAAGTCCAGGTTGTCACCTGTGCTCCTGACAAACCGGCTATAGATTAGAGGTTCCAGTGACCCCCTCCTTGGGTAGATTAATCTGCCAGAGTGGCTCACAGAACTCGGAGAAACATTTTACTTACTAGATTATTGGTTTATTATAAAAGGACATAACACAGGACCGGCCAGATGAAAGAGATGCATAGGGCAAGGTATGGGGGAGGGGCTAGAAGCTTCCATGACCTCCCCCAGAGCACACCACTCTCCTCGAATCTCCATGCGTTCACCAACCAGAAATTCTCCAAACCCCATCTTTCTGGCG